GGGTATGATGATATTCATACCCACGGGTACCCGTTTAATAATATTTCTTAAATATACTAATTATCCTTGTACCACATAACCCTAAAACTACACTCTGTCATCTTTGTGATATAAGACTTTCACTTACTTGTGAGATTGATGTATTTTAAGTTATTGATTATCTTGCATTTTTATTATTATTTCAACAAAATTAACGTTAAATACAAGTTCAAAATTAATATTGAATTTTTATTTTTAATATTTTAATGAAATTAAATATAAACTTAAAACTATTTGTAATATAATTTTTTTAATTTCTTAAAAAATTTATAAATATCCATGGATATCCGTGGGTATTCAAGAAATTCATGGATACTCGCTTAATGGATACTCGTGCAGATATAGGGTGGGTGTGAGGCCAATTTTCATCCAGCAGAACGAGGACGAATTTACTATTACCCGCCCCATGGGAAGCTATGTGATAGAGGTTTGAAAGTTTTAATCAAGAAATAGAAGAGAAGCAAGTATGATAGAGAAAGTGAAGGATGCATTTTGGTGGCAACTTAGTTCTTGTAACATGGAGGCCACCTAATAAAAGCATCGTTAATTGATATATAAGTTAAATATTTATTATAGAATTAAAAGTTTGTAATAATTATATATAAATAAATTGGTTAAATTATATTTTTGATCTTTTATGTTATTTGTTAGATTTATTTTGATATTTATTTTTTAAAATATTTATTTTAGTCATTTATTTCTTAAATTTGGACTAATTTGATCTTTTTGAACAATGATTATTTTTAATTTTGAGACATGATTTTGGATTATTTTTTAACTGATTTAAGACTTGAAATTCGTCTCATTAAATTTACTTATGTGAAAATTGTTGAACGCGATTAAATTTTAAATAAAAAAGTATTACATACATATGAAAATTGCATAAAAATATGACTAAAAGAATATTGAAAATTCAAAAATTATAATTTCATATTATTTTTTAATTATCTATGAAACATATTTTAACATGAATTTTATTATGTTTATAACCTTTGTAAAATCAAACATCAATTATATTTTATAGTTTATATAGTTTAATCTATTGTTACAAGTTTCACATTTCAAATCAATTAAAAATTATTATTTTAAAATTATCAAATTAGTCCAGATAGAAAAGATAAAGAAACAAAATAAACATTTTAACAAATAAAGGATTTATTGTTTTAAAATGATCAAATTAGTCCAAATATGAAAGATAAAGGACCAAAATAAACGTTTTAACAAATAAAGGATTAAAATAAATCTACAAAATAAGATAAAGTACTAAAAGTATAATTTAACCAAATAAATATTGTGTTTGAATATATAAATTATGTTTAAAATTTGTATAGAAAGATATTTTAATTTGAACATACAAATTATATTTTAATTTTTTGATAAATAGTTTATATTGTAGAAAAATATTATTTTTATTTATTAATAATTTATTTAAAAATATTAAAATTTAA